TGGTGGGCAGAGCACAGATAGCCCATCGTGTAGCTTTGTGCTTAATTACAAAAAAAGCAAATAAAAGCAGAAATTAGCAGTTCATGTGCCATGCTGTTTCGTAGTTCGGTTTCAAAAACAATGTTGACAAGAACTATACAGAATTAAAATAGATTATTGTTTGTATCAAAGTAATTGAAACTAAGCGTTGTTATATGTATATCTTTATGTAAAAACACGACGTTTAGAAGCGTTAATTAAACCTTACATCGCTAGACCTAATAAAAACCCTAGATCTGATTTTAAGATATTTAAAAATAACACTTGTACAAAAAAATATAAAAATATGTATACAATTCTCGCCAGTATTTTCTACTTTGTTTAAGTAAATATCGAATCGTACAAAAGATAGGTGGTAAAAAATAAACCGTGTCGTGGGTTTTTGTCCAAAGATTCAGTTTATATGTCGAGATGCATTTAGTTCGATAGTAAAACGGACGTAAATCGGACATAATTAAATTTAAGTTGGGCTATAAGTGAGATTAACTTGATAGCCCACAAAGGAACTCTGGGATTTCAAAAGTTAAATGTTTTTCTGATATTGGAGCAAAGCTTCATAGGGGCTATCTGAATTAGCCGTCCCCAATTTTCATATAATGGGCTATGAGAAATGGAGCTAACCAAGAACTAACTCTTGGGCTACTTTAACTATGCATATAAGGCTCCAATGTGCGGAGTGCGATGTTTTGGGGAACTGAACACGTGCCATGGACCCTTGAATCCATAATCTGGCAGGTTAACCACTAGGACCGCCCAGTCAAGTTAGGAAAAAAAAACATTCGGAATATTTTTTTCTTTCTTAAATGTTCAGGAGAGTACTATTTAATATTGTTGGAAACGTTTAAAGTAGAAGAGGTTAAAACGTGCGATCATACTATCAGAGAAATATGACTTGAAAATAGTAAAATGACACAGTTAAATACAATTTTATTGGAGTATATTTCTTGTATTATAAACACTGATATACTAATATTTACAAACAGTTTTTTTTTTCAGAATATTCATAGAGAAATACACACTTGTCACTCCTAATTTTGAAGGCTGCTAGTCAATCATACCAACATTTAGTTATTGTTATCTAACTGAACAGTGGGATTTGACTGTTACTCTTACAGCGCACCCACAACCCAAAAATGAAAAGCGCGTTTCTGCCGCAACAGGACTCAAACCACGAACCTTTGGGTTCACAGTCCAGGTACTCAAACCACTAGGCTACGCCCAATATTTCGATAACATATTAGTTGGGTTAGTCTAATTTCAATAACAGTAGATGGACTACATTAAACATCATTAGTACATTAGTTGTATTACACTAAACTTCAATAATATATTAGTTATATTACGATAAACTTCAATAATATATTAGTTGTATTACGATAAACTTCAATAATATATGGACTACATTAAACATCATTAGTACATTAGTTGTATTACACTAAACTTCATTAATATATTAGTTGTATTACGATAAACTTCAATAACAGTAGATGGACTACATTAAACATCATT